TAATAATAGGCAGTGCACGTGTTAATAACAGGAAACGCATGCATTAATAACAGGAAACGCATGCATTAATAACAGGAGGTGCACATATTAATAAGGAGAAATTAGCATTAATAATAGGCAGTGCACGTGTTAATAACAGGAAACGCATGCATTAATAACAGGAAACGCATGCATTAATAACAGGAAGTGCAAATGTTAGATATTATCAGGAAGTGCACATGTTAATAACAGGAAACACATGTATCAATAATAAGAAGTGCACATGTTAATAATAGTGATTATAAGGAAGTGCACATGTTAATAATAGTGATTATAAGGAAGTGAACGTTAATAAGAAGAAATGCACATTAACAGGATGTAAGAACAGTGTACATGTTAATTACAGAAAGTGCATGTGCTAAAAACAGGAAATGCGCGCAAATAAAAGGAAGGCCTGGCATCACCTACTTTATGTACGTCTCCATGTGCTTATGGCAGAAATCAGCCGCCTGTGGTCCGCCGTGGCCGTCGAATACAGCAAAGTAGAGGATGCTGCCGTTGACTTGGCTGACCTGAAAGCGGTCCTCGTTCTCCTTGCGCTGGCCGATGTGGGAAGCACAGCCCACTTTGGACAGGCTCACCTTGGGGATGGGCTTCCCATAGCGTATGCTGGGGGGCAGCAGAATGGGCTCATCAATGCGATTGTCCCAGATGCCGAAGGAATCCCAGGTGGTGGGGCGGCCGCTGCTGTCTGGGTCGAAGCGGGAGCTGCTGAGCACTCTGGGGGACGTGTGGAGGCAGCGGTGGCCTTGCTGCAGGAGCCCCAGGCGCAGCCCGCAGGCCCCAGCCAGGCTCAGCCGAGTTGCCATGCACATGGCGCCGCCACGGCACGGGCCGGACGCGGGGAAGTGGGCTGTCTGCTGGCCCAGGCGCAGTCCTACTCTCCTGTAACCTGGAGCTGGAAAAACAAAGGCCAGACCATGAGGTTTAGGGAAGGAGTCACAACAGCATTCATTATAGTTTTCTTCTGCTACAATTTTCAATCTATGGCTGAGACACAGTAATGCAGAGCCAACCACTGTGCGGGGGAGTGAGCTAGTGGCAGCTCCAGGGATTATGCAAGGCAGCTCGCTTGCTCTCTCTCTGTTTCTCTCTCTCTCTCTCTCCCCCTCCCTCCCTTCCTCTCTCCCTTCCTCTCTCTTGCACACATAGTACTATAAATCCCAATGCATCATTTACTTTGTCTACTGTCTACATTATTTTTTAAAGTCACGTATCCTTTTTTATATTATTTTAAGTGAGGTGATGTTTTTCAGTTCCTGCTTGGCTCATATCCCTTTATTCATAGAGGGATACATTAATCCTTTAAGAGCAGTGTGATCCATTTGGCACCAAAAGTGTGTATAAATGCACCCAAGCCTGCTGGAATGAGGTGAGCTTTTCTCCATCTTTTATAATGATGTTTACAAGCAGGTTTTTACTGACAACGTGCTTATGGGGCACCGTTTGTAAAGTTACTAAACATTGTTGTACTTGCACTTTTTCAACATTTAGTACAATTTCATGACATTTAGCTAGAAGTCAAGCGTGTTGTGGATCATCAAATTTTTTTGCTGTGTAGATTATTTTCAAAACTGTTTATCATATGTAAATATAAATGTATGTCTATATATAAATATTGAATGTAAATGTAAATATAAATGTAGACGCTAAATGTTGAGAACATATGCAAATTCGCCATCCATCTGCATAGAAATGGGCGGTAACGACAAAAGCGCGTCAAAAGGGTCTGGCTGCAGAGCGTATGTACAGTACTGTAATACATGTATGTATGTATGTATGTATGTAACAGTGGTTATATAGAATAAGGGAACACGCGCACTGTGTGCGTGTGCACGCGTTAGCGAGTTATGATGGTTGCACAATCAATTTTTCCTTGGAATAACAGCGGAAAAAATAAACTAGCATGGTCTGAACATCAGTGCTCTCGCTACTCTACCACAACCACGATGCTAATAACCAACAAAGGCCAGCCAAACAACATAAATATGCGCATGTTAACACGATTAAGAATATTTCATATCGTTCATAACTGGCAAGACTGTAACTCGAAAACGTACCATTTTTACACCTTATTAGCACTAACTTGGCAATTAGGAAACGATTTCCCCGTTGACTTCCTGTTGTGGCTGAGCGTGCACATGACGTCAATGGCTGCGTGCAGATGGCTAGAGTGCACGTTCTGAGCGGCTGCAGCCAGACCCTTTTGCCATTTTGACTTAGCGCGCTTTCGTCGTTACCGCCCATTTCTATGCAGATGGGAGTGGCGAATTTGCATACGTTCTCAACATTTAGAGTCTACATTTAACATTTATATTTATATTTACATTTATTATTGTTTCACATTTAACATTTAGATATAAGTTAACATTTAAGATTTATAGGCTATTTAACATGTACATTTACATTTAAGTTTTACATTTAACAGATATAAGTTAATATTTAAGATTTATATTTAGCATTTATGTTTACATTTAACTTTTATTTACATTTACATTTAATATTTATATATAGACATACCATTTATATTTACATATGATAAACAATTTTGAAAATAATCTATACAGCAAAAAAATCTGATGATCCACAACACCATTGACTTCTAGCTAAATATCATGAAATTGTACTAAATGTTGAAAACGTGCAAGTACAACAATGTTTAGTAACTTTACAAACGGCGCCCCATACGTGACCGTAAGCATGTACATTTCACTGACGCAGACCGTGTCCCCTGTGACCTGCTGCCAGGCACAAGTCAGATAAACATCAGGTGACCGAAAAAGGTCCCCTTCATAACACGCATTTGACACAGCTTCATACATCCGAAACATTAGAGATGAGGCAACTACTAATACGAGACGATGCGATGCACAATAATATAATACGCGATTCAATATAGTACATACGCAGAGACACTTTATAGAGTCACACATAGTACTATAAATCCCAATTGCACGGCTCCAAACAGTTGAGGTTTGCTTGTGGCTGTGGATTTTTGCATTGAACACTGGACTGAGCCTACCCAAGCTGCGCCGAGCCGCTTATCTAACCGGCTGCCGTAAAGCATTAAGGCGGGATGGCCTGTCATCATTAGGCACGGCCTCGTTATTCCGTAACGTGTAACATTGCAGTCCGATATTTCTGTTGGCTCGCCTGCATACGGCTTTATTTACCAGGCTATTATAAAGCCATGGCTTAAAATAATCCATATCTCGCTGACCGTCGAGTCTCTGAGCTCTGCGTTATAAAATAAGAAACTCCAGCAGTGCGTGGTATTACCTTACCGTATCTGTTGAGGAAAAAGACCTGTTTGATGTTAAAACGCCCCGGCAAGGTAGCATTAATTAACAGCGTTTCCTTATATTCGTGGCGCGTCCCTGCGCTCCAGAGGCAGCTATACATACAAACCTCTGGGGGCTCGACCAGAACCGCCCACTGGCGTCACCACCCACCAATCGCAAGCCGAGAAACTCTATCGCGCAGCCAACGGGAGACCGGGATCAGGTGGGCGTGTTTGTTTTGGTCAAGGCGCCTGTGACAGGTTTTGGAAACTGAAAGAGACGTGACTGTGCTATGTTAATGATTACAAAACGAATCATATAAAGCAAACCCTTTACAGAGAAAACCGCAAGGCAGACATTAATCACATTCATCTGTCACATTTCCTTTTAGACTGCAAATAGCACAGCAGAACTTAAAATACAAAATAAAACAGAAAAACACTCTATTCAGATATCGAATGTATTCACCCCGTGGGATTTTATACCCAGACTGAAAGACCCAGATATGTGAAATCTTTCCGTCTGGCATCCCGTATGAGAAGTATGTATATTTATTTATAGTAACCAGAAACTCATTGGATTAATGGATAGAAATATATGGATGGTGTGGCAATCTGGTGATGGATTGGCAGCACTATCTTGATTACCTGTCTTTTCCATTAAAAATATTTTATTGTTATTTACAATATTACAAATATTATTCAGCTATATATGTGGGGAGTGTGTGTGGCTCGGTGAGTTACAGTGGTGTCCCTGTGCTCAGAAGGTCCTTGGTTCAAGTCCTAGAGTTATGAGTGATGTCATTGGGCCCTTGAGCAAGGCCCGGAAGTCCCAGTTCCTTCAGAGACTACCGGGCCTGTCCTTCAGAGCATTACTCCCCTACATCAGGATCCACCTCGGCCTAGTCTGTCAGCTCCCTGTTTGACCAGCCTGTCCACTTTTGCTGTGTTTCGTAAGTTTAACACCCTTTTGTGTCTGTAGTATGATCTCTGGCTGCCCGAGCCGCCGTTGGCTGCAGGGGCTCAGTGGGCCCTTAAACTTCCATCGTGGCTTTATTGGTGGCCAGAGGCTTGATCTCAATTATGTTGATTATTTTATTTATCGGGTCCCTCAGTGTTCTGTGCTTTGGTTTATAATTCTTTGGTTTATGTGTTTCCCTTTGTTCTTAATTTTCCCCAATTTTACCTAATTTTGTTACCATGTCTTGCTTCACCTAATTCCCAGTTGTTACTGTTGTGTTGATTAATTACCCGCACATGTTTCTTTCTACCCTCAGTATCAGTGTACAGTGTACAATATTGGAACCCCTGCATTTATGTCAGAAAACGCACCACTTCTCCCAGAAAACGGTTGCAATTAGAAATGCTTTGGTATCGCCATGCTTTTTTCTTTTGTTGGCATGGGACACAAAAAAATTCTGTACCGCTCTTCAGGGGCGCCGTAAGGGGGAGGAAAGCTAGGACGATTCCAAGGGCCCCTGAGTGACAGGGGCCCTAAAAAATTAGGAAAATAACTGGATTGGTTTGGACTGGGGGGCCTAATATGATATGCTTTCATGGGGCCCAAAATCTCTAGCAACGCCCCTGCCGCTCTTACTTTGCCAGCTGCTCTAGGTCTCTCAGATTTGAAGGGTTCCTTCTCCCAACTGCTGGTTTTAGATCTCTCCACAGGTGCTCTATGGGATTTAGATCTGGACTCATTGCTGGCCACTTCAGAACTTTCCCGCGCTTCGTCTTAAACCATTCCTGGGTGCATTCCTGCTTTAAGACCCATGACCTCCAGCTGAGACCCAGCTTTTTAACACTGGGTCCTACATTGCGCCAATATTTGTGGCAATGAATGTATACATGTGCCTGTCTTTGCCCTGTGCTTTTATTGGTCGTTGCAATTGTTTCCCGCATATTGCTCGGTTGTGAGAATGTTGTTTGTGGTAGTTTTGTCGAAACGAAGCATGCTGAAGCAACGAAGCTTCCTTTCCAAATGTCTCGTAAAATGGTTCATTACTCGAAGCTTCACAGCACGGTGTACAGTATTGAGCTAGTATCGGGAAAAATTCATTGTAGAGTCTTAAAGCGCTTATGTAAGTCGCTCTGGCTAAGGGCGTCTGCCAAATGCTGTAAATGTAAATGCAGTAGCGGCACCTGGTGGTCAAAGGGTAGCACCGTGAATTTGGCATCGAATCAGTCATCCTAATTATGTCTTATCTGTGAAATCACTTATAGTCTTATGCATAAAGGCCACTAGAAACACTAAATATGTCACCTGAGTCTATAATTATATATGAACAAATAGTTCATGCAACGAAGCCATTGCAATAATTTATGCTTATTATGCTTTTAATGGTATTTGGAGGGGGAATAATGGGCATTGTGTTACTAATAAAGTTAAAGAGGTTTCGTTTAAAATGGTATTTATATTTTACCCAGCAAAACAGGTTCTCCAGAGATCTAGAAGTGATAATGATGTACCATTTGTGAATATGATATTGAAACCATCTCTCATCGTTTCTATGATTGTGTTCATGTAAAGTTACTTTGCTTAGAAGTAACACCACCAATAGATGTAAATGTTTTCGTAATTTGGATCTTTTTGTAATATCCCCATTCTGATAACTGTAAATTAGCCTATTTTGTTGAATTGAGTTAGATCGGGCAAGGGACGTGGTCGCTGTGAGCGATGCGGGCTCCTCCTCACAGCTAGTCGTACGCCGAAACGACGTTTCGGTCAATGACTTACCGTATATACAACGGTGGTCCCATAAGATTATAATACTTCGTTATGACAATAAACAAGTAGGCCTATGTTACTGGTTTATGTATTTACTGTTATATGTTGTGTATTCATCTGTATTTTAGACTGTACTCTTTCTACTTATGCAAGAAGTTTACTGTAAAACAGTACGCCGTGTTACGCTTAGTTAGTGCGTATGCTCACTGTGATTCGCCTAACGACGCATTTCTTGGTGTATCCTCATCTTTAAGCGACGAATGGCTGTAGTTTCTTTTTACTGTCGATTCACTTTGCAAAGCAGACGCCCGACCGACACGACAACGCGCCCCAGGACTTCCTTATGACTCCAAAGCCAAAATAGTCACGAAACTTCGGACGTCATTGATTAGTATCTATGTCAAGAATGAAGCCAGCTTCAACGCAGTGACGTCGTGGTTCATGTTTGTTTCCGACGCACCTTCAGAGCTGCAGTGTCAAACCTAACATTCCTCAGCCCTTCCCGATGTTAGTGTAGTTTTTGTTACTTCGTGGTTAACTTTCCTGCCTTTCCTTTTGATCCCTCACGGTCCTCTGTCTCTAGCGTTACTATAAGCTCAGTTTTAGTAATTTTCCTTCTGTTTCCAAGCCGCACTGTCAGTCTTCCCTGACCGTGCCTTTGTCACCCTGCCTTCAGCCAAACGGCATCGGCCGAGTACGGCTGCTTTCCATATATCAAGTTTTCTTACCTTTTCTTTTTATTTCCCTTTATCCTTTACTTTACTTAG